CTTCTCCTTCTCCTTCTCCTTCTCCTTCTCCTTCTCCTTCTCCTTCTCCTTCTCCTTCTCCTTCTCCTTCTCCTTCTCCTTCTCCCTCCCTTTCCTCTCCTGGTGGCACATCCTTCCTCACATTCCAAGAATCTGAGCAGGGGTGGGAGAGGACCCTCTGAAGAAGGGCTGACCCACCTTCCGGGGGCATTTTCTTGGCTGGAGCAGCTGGAGGGGGCAGTGGCACGAGGCTGGTGACACGGAAGCCGGCAGGGAGGGTCTCAGCAGAGCCGCTGAGGAGGTTGATGCTGTGCACATCCCGCGGGCGGAAGCGCTTGCGCCAGGACGGCGTCCGACGGAAGGTTTTGTCATCACCCTGCAGGGAACAGCGTGTGACGGGCCTGGGGTCAGTGCCAGCAGCACCTCCTGCCCCTGTGAGACACCAGCTAACAGGGGTATGCCTGTCCTTGGTGGCCAGAGCTAGCGAAGTGTGGGATCAAACTGGGCCAAAGACAGAGGACAGCTTGCTGGGATCCCACGGCATTGGCTTTACCCTTTCCAGCTCATCTGTCTCTTCCCTACAGCCTGCCTGCAATGATGCCTTGGAGACATCAACACAAAAGTCCCAGTAAGACTCCAAGGGATGCTGGGCTCATGACAGAAGAGCTCCAGCCCTCAGAGCACCTCCTCTGGGCTCACTCCAGCAGCTCCAGGTCCTTCCTGTGCTGGAAGCCCAGGGCTGGAGGCAGCTCTGCAGGTGAGGTCTCACCTGAGTGGGGCACAGGGGCAGAATCCCCCCCTGCCCTGCTGCCCACGCTGGGGGATCAGCCCAGCACAGGGGGGTTCTGGGCTGCCAGAGCACGTGGCTGGGGCACGTTGAGCTTCTCATCCATCAACACCCCCATGTCCTTCCCCAGTTACACAGGACTTGGAGAGGTTTGGCACTCACATCATCCAGCCTCCGGTCCGTGCCCAAGGCGAGCAGGTTGTTGAACTCCCTCTCCAGCACTTGTCGAGCCTGCAATTAACCAAAAAATGATGATCCCACATCAATGGGGAACGTGCTTCCAGCCCAAACTTCCATCCCAGGAAAGCCTGAGTGTGACAGAAAGAGCCCCCGTGCCATAGGAGAGCTCTGCTTTGAAAGGCAGAGCTGAGTTGGTGACATTGGTGCAGTCACACCACAGCTATATCGCACACTGGCCACTCTTCTCCAAAATCCCCCAAGGATACTGCTCCTACCTGGGTGTTCTGGGTGGGGATCTGCAGCACAAGGGCCAGGCTGTTGTGGTCAAAGTTCTCATCGAGGGCCAGCAGGGCCCCGTGCACGCCACTCTCCACCAGGTTGTTCCCGTACTCGCGCAGCCCGATGGACTGGATCCAGTGAATGACCTGGTCGTTGGTCCACACCAACACATCTGCATGACAGCAAGGATATGGCTCAGGGCCACCTCACACCACACTCATGGCTCTGAGGAGGTCCGGGGATGTCCTGAGGCCCTTTCCCTTTGCCCCAGGATGATCCTGGGACTCTCCTTCCCAAGTCAGCAGCAAAACCAGGAACTCAAGTGCCACAAACAGCTCAGTTCAATTTACCAAGCTCAAAGCTGAAATAACAGACAGAAAACAACTGTGAAAATTAATCCTAAGAATCCACAGCTGCTGATGTAATTAGGGGCATTATCAATAATGAGATGTAATCCAAACAGCAACCAGATGCACAGGGAATCTCAGGACAGTGACGAGGAAGGGGAGGCTGAGCAAGCTGGAGATGTCCTCCGTAGTGAAAAGGGCAGAGAAGATCATGAGATACTCAGGTTGCATCTTTGTTTTCCCTTCCTCCCTCCTCATGCCTGCCTGGGACCTGCTGATAAAGGCACTTGGAAGAGTAGAAAGGTCCCTCAGGAGAACAGCCCTGTTGGCTCAGAAATAATGGGTTAAAAATAAGAGATACAAGAGAGACCAGCCCTGGGTATCTCCTGGGAGGTTTCTCTTCTCCTGTTCCGGAACTGGACAGGGGGTGCTGACCTTTGATTTCATGTTGCGTCTCCTCTCGCCTCCTCTCGAGTTCTTTGCGGTCGTAGTTGAGCCTCTTGAGGCACATGATGCCGTACTGGAGGCTGGTGCTGCAACAACACCAAGGGACACAAGGGGTCACCCAGCCCTCCAGGACACACAGCTGGGAGGGACCCGAGAAGGGACTCCCCTCTCTGCGTGCTCCCCACATGCCCAAAGGATGCTTCAGACCAGGGATGGGTAAGACACAACCCAAAGCTGGAAAAGGGGGAATGTCCCTCCCTTCCATGGCAATTCCCCACTGCATCAGTTTGAGCCTGCTCCAGCTGCCTGTGAGCACACAGATCCAAACAGTCCTCACGCTTGGGGGCTGCAGAGGGAAGAGGGAACCAGCCCATGGGGGCTGCTTCAGGATGAAGGGCTCATCCCTGGAGGTGACCCTGGCAGGCCCACTGGGCTGCTGGCAGACAGCAGTGGAGCACCAGCTGGGATGAACCTGAAATTTTGCCCATGGTTTGCTTCACAGCCTGGGGAAGGCCTGATCCTCTGCAATTCTGCAGCAAGGAGTGAGGTGAGGGAGAACTTCTGCCCCTAAGACCTGTCCCAGCTCAAGGTGGTGAGTCCAGCCCAGAAGAGCCGTCCAAGGCTGCCCAAGACAGGGGAGAATCCCTCAAATCCCCCCTTCTCTGCTCCATGTGCATGCTGGGGAGCTCCAGGGGCCAGGACTCACCGGTGGAAGCTGTCCACCATCTTCAGGTGCACCCGCAGGTCCTTCTTGGTGAGGTGGTCCAGCATCCGTGCGTCCACCAGGCATTCCATGAAGTAGCTCCGGTACTGGGGCAGGCCCAGGCTGGGCAGCCACTCGTTCCCAATCCACTCATGGTTCATGTCCCCATAGGCCAATGTCTGCACAGAAGCACATGGAGAAACTGGGGAGAACCCAGGGCTTGGTGGAGCTACAGAATCCCAGGGAATCAGTGAGAGCCCAGGAGGGTCACTGTGTCCTGAGGCTAAACCCAGGCCAGAGGACTCAGCCCTGGGTGATACTGAGGGAGCTGGAGGGAACAGTCCTGTTGGCCATGGTCTCATGTCCCCCCAGGAGACAAAGCAGTAGCCAAAAGTAATGGCAAGGGACAACTGGACTTTATGAGCAGCTGCCTCTGGAAAAAGCACGTTCATTGAAAGACAAAACAGCTGAGAAACAGGTTCCAGTGCATTCCCAACCGATTTTTAAGAATATCTACTTTAAGAATCTCTACTTTATGACTTCAAAACAAAACAAAACAAAGGATCACTTTTGGGAAAAAAAATCCATTCACTACCACTGCAAACTGATTTTGGGTCCAAAATGAATTAAAATCCACCAAAAGGAAAGTAAAACATTTGAGAGGGATAAAATCAGAAGAGATGGATCCAAGCAGGACTCTTTCCTCCCACCTTTTTCATAAAAATCATCTGCAGGGACTTGGGGCTACAAAATAGGTGAAAAGTAAATGTGCAGTTGGAATCCTGCCTGCATGCTAGGTGGTCACATAGGTGGGGGTTCTTAACACAGGCTCTGGATCTCACAGAGGAAAAGCCACTGCCTGGAGCAGAGAAGGGCCCAGGAGGACATCCTGTACCTGAGAGATGGCCCAGAGGAGCAGCCACGGGGTGCAGGTAAAGCCTGTAAGGCCTTGGCGAACATCAATGCCCCAAGATACCCTGGGGCGCCCAGCTCTCCCCCGACCACCCCATGCACCGCCCACGGACAAGGGTGGCACAGGGACCTCACCTGTGCCCAGCTGCCTTCCTCTGTGTCCTAGTGTGACACACGCAGCATGTCAACAGAAAGGACAGTGAAGTCAGTACCTGGTGGCCCTGCACTGGGCATGGACCTCACAGGACAGAGGGACACGTTGGAGACAGGGCTCACTCTTATGGCTTGGGGACCTCAGCCTTGTCCCCAGGGTGCTGGGACACCCCGACCCTGCTGGGCCTGGTTCCCACTCGAACTCTAACCAAAAATACAGGATGAAAAAAAGGAAGGAGAAGGAGAAGGAGAAGGAGAAGGAGAAGGAGAAGGAGAAGAAGATAGGATGAGGCTTGGGCTGGAGATGGCACCGACCCTGGAGCTCATTCATGCTCTCTGGGAAAGAGAGAGAGTTCTTAGGTCCCCTCAGGTCAGATGGGTGAAAGAGAATTAAGCTTCAGTACATCTGTCACAACCTGCAGGGGGCTGCCCAAGCCAATTTGCTGATTTTGTAGCTATTCCCTCCTTTGCCAACCTGTGCTGGTTTTCCTCAGTCTCACAGAACCTGCCAAGGTACAGTGGCACATCCCTGCTACTCAAAAAAAGCTTTAATAAAATGTCTATTTCAGAGAACCCCAAACTAGTTTGTACTGGAAGGGACCTTAGAGCTCATCCTATCCATCCATGGGTAGGGACAATTTCCACTATCCCAGTGAGTGCCAACCTGGCCTTGGACACACAATTCCCACACAAATCCAAAATGTTGCCCTGCTCTGACACAGATAGGGGGTGATTAGGTTGTAGAGAAGGGAGTGTGGCTCCATCTCTCCAAAGAAGCCAGAGCTTTTGGGAGCATGGACACACCCCTGCAAGGAACCCCAAGCTGTCAGCCAGTGGCAGGGACACACGGTGGGGACAATACTTGGGTGTGCTGATGTCAGTGGGAGAATTAGACCATGACTGGGTGCAGAATGACTTGGGGATCTCATGTGTCTTGAGATCACTCCTGGGTTTTGTCTTTAACTCCCAAACAGCCAGGCTGCTCTGGAAACCCAGTGAAATCCAGAAGGAAAAAAAATTGATGCAGTTTAAACTATTTTTAGAAATTGCTGGGACATTAAAGGTTGAAAGAAGGTTTCTAAAGAGCTGCAGGAAGCTGGCCAAGAACTAATATGTGAAGGATCCCCCTCACTCTGGGTTAACACACCTGGAGCTACTCGGACCCTGACACCCCGGGGGCTTCCCCCAGCGCCCTGGGGGCTGCCCAACCTCACCGTCTTGGTGGAAGTTGCCATGTTCTCCATCTCCTCATGGGTGACCCAGACATTTCCAGAGGACTGCAGGGAAAAGAGTAGAGGGGTCAGAGCAAACCACCACAGAAATATGGCCTCAGTTCACAACCACCATGGAGTCAAGGAATCACAGAATTATTAAGGTTGAAATATCAAGTCCAACCCTCAACCCAGCACCACCACCATGTCCTCAAGTGCAACATCCGCCATCTTCCAGGGATGGTGACCCCACATTGCCCTGGGCAGCTGTGCCAGGGTCTGACCACCCTTTCCATGAAGAAATTTCTCCTGATATCCAACCTGAACCTGGTACAGCTTGATGCCATTTCCTCCTGTCCTGTCCCTGTTCCCTGGGAGCAGACCCTGACCCCCCCCAGCTGTCAGGGAGTTGTACAGAGCCAGAAGAGCCCCCCTGAGCCTCCTTTTCTCCAGGCTGAGCTCCCCCAGCTCCCTCAGCCACTCCTGGTGCTCCAGACCCTTCCCCAGCTCTGTTCTCTTCCCTGGACATGTTCCAGCCTCTCCAGGTCTCTGTTGTCACAAAGTGCCCAGAACACCCCCAGGATTCCAGGTGTGACCCCAGCAGTGCTAGCACAGGGGATGGGACTGCCCTGGGCCTGCTGGGACAGCCCAGGTGCCCTTGGCTTTTTTGCCCACCTGAGCACACCTGGGCTCACCTGGGCTCCTGTCCAGCCTCTGTTAGCACCATGTTGGAACCAAGCTCAGTTCAGGCTGGCTGAGGATCAGACCACCCTGTGCTTGGAGCCATCCTGGGGACATCCTACATCCTTGCAGCTCAACCTGGTGACACCCCACTGCCTGAGAGGACCCTGGGCTGTCCATGCAACCACAGAGAACAGAGATGACCTTCATTCATCTCCCTTTCCACTTTAGTGTGATGCTCAAAGAGCCTGCAGGCCTGTCCCCATCAGCTATGACCCCAGACACAGTCAGCTGAGGGGGACATAGCAGTCTCCCTTCTGCCAGCTGCAAGTCCACAGATGTGTTTTGGCAGTACTTGGCCACCATTAACCCCTCGAGACCTTTGGGGATCAGCAAAAGACACAATCCCTCCATCCTACCAAAGACAGGCATCTAAGGTTGCTCTGAGTTGCCCCAGGAATTTTAGATGGAGAAGGCTTGTGTTGAAATGATTGGGAAAGAGGCTGTGTGTAACCAAGCTATCCCTGTACATCAGGAATGTTTGGATTTCTGCTCTTTGGATGGAGTTTTATCCTCTCCAGGGCAGCCAGGCCTTGAGTTCTGCTGTTTGCAGGGTTGGCCTCCTGCCCACAACCCCATGTGAGTCATGCCTCCAGCTGGGAATGACCTTTGTGCTGGGGGATGAATGTCCAGCGGTTTGAACACTCCATGAGGGGACACCACCCCTTCCAAGGCCACGATTGTCAAGGGGTCCCAAGGGAAAGGAGGGCAGGGAGCACAGTGCCTGGTCCATGGGGGTCTGGGGTGTGCAGGGAGCACAGTGCCTGGTCCATGGGGGTCTGGCGTGTGCAGGGAGCACAGTGCCTGGTCCACGGGGGTCTGGCGTGTGCAGGGAGCACAGTGCCTGGTCCACGGGGGTCTGGCGTGTGCAGGGAGCACAGTGCCTGGTCCATGGGGGTCTGGCGTGTGCAGGGAGCACAGTGCCTGGTCCATGGGGGTCTGGCGTGTGCAGGGAGCACTCACCGTGCGGGAGGTGGGCGGAGCTGAGGGGCTGGTCAGGGACACCATCTCCTGGATGGCCAGGCGCAGCTTGAGGCGGTGCAGGGCGTTGCTGATGCCGATCTCCCGCTGGATCTCGGTGTCCGACAGGGCTGACATGATGGCCCCGCTCTTGACGTTGGCCCGGCACGCGGCCACGTACCAGGCTGGCATCCCCACCCAGAGCTGGGGACAGGAACAGCGGTGACTGCCTGGCACTGCCAGCCTGGCTCCTGCGCCAGGGGCAAGGCCACCCTCTCTAGAGCCCAGTATCGAAGCGAATGTCCATGGGGGATTCTGGGCTTGATTGTACCTTACAGAGGTGACCCAGCCTCCCTGTGCCTGATGGGCACAGCACAGGGAGGGAGCACCCACAGAGCTTTTCATAGAATCATATTAAGATTGGAAAAGCGCCCTCAGATGAGTTCCAACCACTCCCCCAGCACTGCTACATACACAACTTACCCAAGTCCCAAGTGCCACATCCACACGTTTTGAACACTTCCAGGGATGGTGACCCCACCACTGCCCTGGGCAGTTGCCCAGGGCATGACTATCCTCTCATTGAAAAACTTTTCCCCAATATCCAGCCTGAACCTCTCCTGGCACAGCTTGAGGCAATTTCCTCTCCTCCTGTCCCTTGTTCCTTCAAAGCAGAACCTGACCCCCCCCAGCTGTCCCCTCCTGTCAGGGAGTTGTGCAGAGCCAGAAGGTCCCCCCGAGCCTCCTTTTATCCAGGCTGAGCCCCCCAGCTCCCTCAGCCAGTCCTCATCACACTTGTGCTCAAACCCAAAGCTCTACTAAAACCACAACTCCACAGGCTCTATGAGGGATCCAGGGATCTCCTTTGCTCTCCCAGGATTTGCAGCCATGTGCACGGGCCAAGCATGGTGGGGCATGGTGCTGTGGGGACAGCACGGGGGCAATCCATATGCACGCACCTCCAGCCAGGACACAACAGTGGGGCCGTCCCAGTGGGCAAAGGGCAACCCTTTCCTCCGAGCCTCTTCCAGGAGCTCGTGCCTGCAGGAACAGAAGCAGGAGAGTGATTTATGGGGGGCTTGTGTGGAAGGGAAAGTTCTTGTTAGGGAACAGACCCTGACAGTAGGAAGCAGCTGGAGACAAAGCTGTGAAGGAAGTAACAAGGCCCAAGGGAGGGTGAAGAAGAGAAGATTTCCCAGCAATTCCTAGTCCTGTGCCATGGCTTCTCAGCAGATCAGTTTCTTGCTGGGGTAGGGAAGGAAGTTCACTCACTTCTTCCGCAGGCGCCGATCCTTCTCAGCCTGAGCCCCCAGCTTGCCCAGTCCCAGGGGGTCCTGGATGCCCCCTTCCACGTCAGTCAGCAGCACTGTTGGGCAAGCAAGACACCCTCAGGTCCATGTGATGTCCCTGGGTCAGCATGACATCCCCCAGGGCCCGTGTGGGCATTTTCACCATCCCCACACAGTGACAGCACAGGAGCTGACAGTGTCCCTTTGCAACCCACCCCTATGGCCCCCCGCATCCCTGGGAAGCCCAAGCAGACCCCCTTCTGCCATCCCTCCTATTTCCAAATCCCAGAATCCCAAAATCACAGAATAGTCCCTTCTGCAGGGGACCCAGAGAGATCATTGAGTCCAACAATGCTCAACATGGAAGCAGTAAAGGACATAGGAATGGAAAACCAGCTCCTACCAAAGGGTTCTGCAAAATCCACGGGGAGGGAAGTACATTTGGGGATATTAAAGATGAGATACATTGACAGGAGGTCACTATCCACACCCCAGCTTTGACAGAGCATTAAGGTGACACCATGCTCAGGCCAGAGAGGCCAAGGGGAGAAAACACCAAGCTCCAACTTCCCTGAGGCTGCCATGGCCCCAACATCCCCAAACCAGCAGGGGTGTCCCTGCCCTCCCAGTCACCCCAAAAGCACCGCAGTGGCAGACAGAGCCAGAGGGTGTGGCACAGACAGGCACAGGGCTGCACACGGACCCTGCCCCGTGGCCCCTTCTCTGCTCAGCTGGATCAAGCGACCCTTCTCTTTCTTCCCAAACAGACGCCCGATGGAGGATTTGATCCCCTTCCTCTTGGAGCCCTTGTGCAAGGAGTCCTGGCTGCTGCTGGGATTGCTGGCCTGGTCCTCCAGTGAACTGGGGATGAAGGAGGGAGAGGAAGAGCTAAGCCTTTAGGTTATTCTTGAGCCTGGCACAAGCCATGGCAAACCCCAGCCTACCTATTCCAGGTAGGCCTCAGGTAAATCCCCAAACGAGACACCAAGGGTCTCCACATACCTCTTGCCATCCTCCTGACTCAGGGCAGGGTGGCCCAGCTTCTCCAGCCGCAGTGTCCTGGGTGAAGACGGTGGAGACGTCTCACACTTGATGGTGGTTTTGTCCTCCCGGCTCTCGTCCCGAGCTGCAGGCGACTGAACAAGCGGAGAGGTCATGAGGGTGGGACGCCAGAGCCCAGCTCCATCCTTGCCCTGCTGCCTGCCTCTCTCTTGCTCCATGGAGGCATGGCCAAAAGAGCCACCAGAGCTCTGGGGCTTTGCCATGCTCCAGGAATGGCCTGAATGAGAGCTCTGGAAATGGTTCCAGATGCCCAAGCGGATGGGGAGGATGTGGCACTATGGCTGAGATCCTGGGAATGGGGGGTGAGAGGATGCACCTCCATGGTCCAGGACAGGGTGTGGGGACAGAAGCTGCTGGCCCTCATCAGAGGGCTCTGAGGAGCACAGATGGGAATGTCCCAAGGACACCCTGTTGCCAGAGGGGACACAATGTTTGAAGACCCGGTGGCTTTCTGAACCTCCCCATGTCCTGCCAGACCCCCCAGGCTGCCGGCGGGAAGAGGTCCAAGCACCTTTTGGGATCCCCATGATCCTCCAGCTGAATCCCTGGGGTCCCCAGCTCCATCCCGCGCCTGCTGCACCCTGACCTGGTATGGACAAAGCCAGGAGCAGGCTGGAAAAAGGGCTTGGACAAAAACCAACGGGATGGGAGCCACTCACTAGCAGTTTCCTCCGGTGCTTCCTCAAGTCGCTGGGCTGATTGCAAGGGGGAAAGCGAGAGAGACACAGAAAGGGGGGCAGTTAATGGAGCACCCCCCCAGAGCAGTCCCGGGGCCAGGCTGCCAGGCTGGAGACAGCAAACACGGGCACCCCGTTGTCCCACACCTCCCCAGGCCTGTGCAGACACCGGGCATCGCTCCCACCTCACAGCCAGCCCCCGCCAGCCCCTCCTGGCTCCTCACCAACGTCATGATCCCCATGCGGTCCAGGTCCTGTGCGGCACTGCGGGAGCTGAGCTTGGGTGTGGAGCGGCCGCTGAGCGGTGGGGACGAGCTGGCCAGGGACAGGGCTGTCAGCGAGGTGGGGATGGAGGCCCTCTTGCACAGCTGGGTGAGGTTCAGGCCCTCCATGCTGCCACTCGTGACCCGCGTCTCCAGCTCCTCTGCGCGGAGCTCCGTGGACTCCTTCTCCTCCTGGATCATCCTGGAGGAGCAGCGGGGCTCAGGGCTCCTGGCTCCCCACCTTCCCACGGACACAGGACTTCTGTCCTGGGGAAAGGCACCTTGGTGCTGTGCCTCAACCCCCGATTTCCAGGAATGGCAGCAAGACTCGTCAGGATCCATAAAAACCAGAGCTGAGACACACCCTGATTCCTCTTAATATCCATGGAGGACTTTTTATAAAATAATGATAGTTTGAAATAATGACCCTCTGAGCCAGCACTGGTGCAGCTGAGCGACAGGGAGACATGGCAGGAAGGACCAAGCCCTGTGGCTGGATGTCCTGGAGCCATTTCCCTGGCTGAAGACACACCAAGACCCCAATTTTAGGCCAGCAGAGCCTCCTGGCTATTTGTTGTCTCCCTGGAGCCATTTCTGCACAAGGCAGTGGTGAGTTTTGGCCATGGTCATACCTGATCTCTTCATTGATGGCATCCAGCTGCTCCTGAAGCATCATGGCCAGTGTCTGGGCATCTGAGTGCCCACCAGGAGAGAGCACATCCATGGAGCTGAACAATGTCTCACGGTCATCCTCGTCCACATCAGAGATGTCGGGGTCGCTGTCAAAGGCGTGAGGCCCCGTGGCCAGGACCCCACTTGCCTGGGCCTGCTCCCAGTCCTGGGGGAACAAGGGCGACAGTCCTAACACAGCATTCCCACATCTCCAAACGCCAGGCTGGTGACCTCCATGCAGGAATCCCATCTCAACATGACCCCAACAGGAAACCTTTCCAATGTTCTCCCATCAATGCACCAAGGGAAGGAAACTGCCCCGTGTCTCCGGATCTGACCCTAATCCCGGGATGCAATGCTGCGGTGCACAGCACTTACCTTGGCTGGCTCCTCTCTCCGGGCACCAAATCGTCCCTTCTGTGCCCGGGCCAACCCTGGAGCTGCCCCGAAGGGCTCGGCTGGGGCATGGACCACAGCTCCCAGCGGGAAGCGCAGGTCGGTGGCACTGCCCATGTGGGACCTGGGAAGAGAGAGCCCTGTGGGGGACTTTGCTCTGTGCAGGACACCCTCAACCCTCAGGCTGCTCCCCTTGTAGCCCAGGCTTCGTGGGACAGAAGAGGAGGAGCTGGAGGAGAAGAGCACTGTGGAATGCCCATCCCAGCGATGTCTGCCTGCTCAGCATGAAAGGATGCAAAACCAGGCTCTGGAAAAAAGTGTCCCATTTCCCTACAGGGGACCTGCAAATGCACTCACAGAATCACTCACAGTATCATTGAATCACAGAACATCCTGAGCTGGAAGGGATCCACAGCAATCGAGTCCAACCCCTGGCCCTGCACAGACACCCCAACAATCCCACCCTGTCCATCCCTGGCAGTGGTGTCCAAACACTCCTGGAGCTCTGGCAGCCTCGGGGCTGTGCCCATTCCCTGGGGAGCCTGGGCAGCGCCCAGCACCCTCTGGGGGAAGAACCTTTCCCTGAGCTCCAGCCTGAGCCTCCCCTGGCACAGCTGCTCCCTGAGTCCTGTCCCTGCTCAGAGAGCAGAGATTGGAGCTGCCCCTTCTGAGGAATCTGCAGCCTCTGGAGACCTTTGACCTCAGGAGACTCCAAATTTTCCCAGAATGTCAGAAGTTCAGCCCTGGGCCCTGCTGGGCTCTCTCCTGCTGCTCCCTCCCCTTCTCTGTGCACCCATGGGGGCACCCAGCCAGTTCTGCCCAAAGCCCCTGCACTGGGGGGCTGCTGTGCAGCCAGGGCAGGACAGTCCCCTCCTGCCCCTCCCTCTCCAGAGCAGCTGGAATCTCTCAACATAACTTGTGTCCTCTCCATCCCCACGTATCCAGCCGGAGCCAGCCAGGGAGCTCTTCTCCTTTTTATGTTTATTCCAACATTTTCATGAGAAAATACCCTGATGAGAATCTCTTCTCCCAGGCAGTGAGTGAGAGGATGAGGGCAAATGGCCTCAAGGGGAGATTCAGGTTGGGTATTGGGAAAACTTTCTTAATGGAAAGGGTGGTCAGGACCCAGCACAGGCTGCCCAGGGCAGTGGTGGAAGTGTTCAAAAAATGGTAGATGTGGCACTTTGTGATGTGATTTAGTGGGAACGTTGGTATTTGCGTGAAGGTTGGACTTGATGACCTTGGAGGACTTTTCCAACCTTAATGACTCTGTGATTTCAATGAATAAAATTCCACTTGAAACATCTCCCAGGTGTGAGGACAGGAGCATTGTTGGGATCTCCCAGCAGGAACCAGCTGGGATTTCTTCACCCTCCTCCTCCCTGCCTGCGCTGGTGCTCAGGATCAGGACCTGGTGAGTCCCATACCAGGCAGAGCAGGGCAGCAGCAGGACACGAGGACACTTTGAGCCACTCGTGGTACTCATTCCATGTCTCCACTTTGCCTGGTTCTTCCTCTTGGCCTTGAAAACCCAACCAGGGAGCTGAGCAAAGGGCACAGGGCACAGGGTGATTACTCCCCGCATACAGTGCATTGGAGACTCGAGGTTTGTTTAGTTTAAGGTGAATTTAAGATGACAAAAGCAGCAGCCCCAGGCAGATTGTGGTTTTCCACCATGGTAGGCAGTTTGCAAGGCAGATACAGGCCTGCAGATAAAGCAGCAAGGCAGCAGCATGGCTGGGCCAGCCTGGTGTGTCAAAGGCACAACCCAAATTCCAGGGATTTCAGAGCTGCTGCCAAGCTGCTGCCCAGCTAAAACCAGATAAAAACACCTTAGACAAAAGCTGACATTTCAGCTGGGGGATCATTCTGCAACTCAAGATTTCTGCTGATTTTTCATCTGAGAAATAGAAAAGATCACCAAACTGTCCATCCTGCTCTTACAGACCCATGCAAAGAGGTCCCACACATGCTCCGACTCTGCTCCAGCACTCAGCTCTCTTTGATCCTCACAGGCTCTTCCTCACCCTCCCCATTTCTTCTCTCCATGACAGACACAGGGTCTCCAGGCCTTCTCCTCTCTGCTGACAGACCCAAAGATGGTTACACCAGCTCCTCCCCATCTTTTCCAGCCTTGCTGAGAGGGGAATTTTCTTCACTGGTTGCTCCCACTGATCCCTTGTTGCCTTGAACCCACACTGGAAGAGCTCAGGGCAGGGTGGGATATCCCAGGTGGCTGCAGCAGCAGAACAGGATTGTTGTGCTGTCACCCTCCTTTTCCACTCCTATTTTCCTGGAGCAGCTCTGGGTATCCTGGTCAGTGCCAGAGGCTGTGACTCACCTCTGCTCCTGGTGTCCTGGGCTGGGATGTCCCCATGTCCCAGTGACTTTAAAGGAAAGGGTGTGGGAGGATCATTGCACTGGAGAAAGAAGGGCTTCATTCTCCTTTGCCTGCAACAGCTCCAAAGCAATTCCTCCTTCTGCACCAGCTCATCCCCTGTACTCCACAGGGGAAGTCCTTTGGTGAATATCCAGCCTTCAGAGCAAAGTAAGTCCTAAGCCACTTGTACAGAAAAAGAAACAATTCCCAGTGGTTTCTCACCCTCACAAGAACAAATCTGGGGCCATTCAGTTGGACTGGGCTATTCTCAAGAGTCTGTGTCCCACCCCAGGACAGATCCATGGTGGGAGAGCACGGCTGGAGCTGACCCTGCTGAAGGGACCCTGCAGCCCAGCACTGAAGCTTAGGGGCACCAGAAACACCCAAAGCCAGCAACACTTTGGGGTCCCCAAAGCCAGGGGTGCAGGGGCTTGCCCTGGCACTTACCTGGTGTGCACACTCTCCACAAAGGTCCCACTCCTGGTCTTGAGTTGATCCACCTCCAGCCTCAGCTTGTCGATCTCGTCAGACAAACGCCGCTGTTTGGGGGGATGAGACAGGCAGGTGTTGGGTTTGCTCTGGAGAGCTGCCAGGTTTGGGGTAATCCGCATCCTTGGCTATTGCCACGTTCACATTCCCTTTACAGACCCCCACCCCAGGTTTAAAGCATCTGGGACACATCAGTAAAGAAACAGTTCATGCAGGCGCAGGGATTGAGGGCTCTGGGGAGGGAGGATCAGGACAGACAGACACTGGTGCTCAAGGAATGCTTCTTTGAGAGATGAAGGAAAACAGGTCCCACTTGGTTGTTCTGGTTCTGCTCCAGACTGCACGTGTGTGTTCCCTTGACAAGGGATCAGTAGGGAGGAACCCCCCCAGCCAACCTTGCTGCTGGCCCTGTCCCTCCTGCTCCCAGCCCCATTCCCATGGGGAAGCTGTGCCCACGCCCAGGGCTGGGAGAGGCCAGGGGGAGGCTGCAAATGGACAGGGAGGGAGGGAAGAAGGGATCTTCTGGGCACAGCAGGATCCAGTCTGGGGACAAACAGACTGAGCCAGGGTGGGCAAAGTGTCATGCGAGTCCCTGAGCTCTGCCCTGCCCAGACCTGAGCAGCCACGGCTGGGAAGCACAAGGAATAAGCACACATCCTCCCTGCAGGCAGGGGAAAAGCAGCACCCCGATCCCCCAAACCATGCATGAGACATGCAGCACATTCCAAAAGCTCCCACTGCTCCAAACAGCCACGTCCCTCCAGCCTTCTAGCAAGACCACTAGGGGTTCATGCAGATGATACTGAGATGCTTTATCTGAGAGCAGAGTGTGAAGACCTACGGGGCCTCTTCAAGCTGGGCACGGGGCAGATCTCCCCCCATAGTCTGAGAAAGCCTCAGGGGCCAAGGGGACGTGGCTGCCTGAGCTCTCCTCTATGCACGATTGAAGTCACCCTGGCCTTGCCACTGTCCCCAGTGGGCTCAGGCACGGATGAGTGTGACACGGAGATGGGACCCAACAGGGACCTGGCAGGGAACTGACCCGGGGCTCTCGGGGGAGGGGAGTGGCAGCTTCCATCCAGCTACTGCATGGATGAGTGTGTGGCCTCCTGCTGCTGGGTGCTCTGGGATCCCAGCTCCTCCCAAACTTGGGCATTTCAGGAGAAGCAAGTGCCTCTAGCCAGGGGCTGGGAGTGAGGCAATGCCATCACTGGGGAAGGTCCCTGCAGCCACATTTACCTTGTCATGCTGGTGTTCCTCTATCTGTTTTTGGGTATTTTCCAGCTCTTGTAATAATGTATTCTTTAAGAAAAAACAAAGAAAATAAAAGGGAACAAAAACAGGAAAGAAAAAGAGAGACCATTTAGGAAACGGCCGTGTGGGCTACCAGGAATGGCCAGTGTGGAATCCCTGTGTAGTGAACACCTGGAAAAAGCTCCCTGGGCTATTCCTCACCTGCCTGTGCACAGGTCTCCCCTGCAAAGCTCCTGCCTCTCAAGCAGGATGGCCACAGCTCAACTCCTGCCCCACTCTGGGGCTGAACATGGCCATGGAGGGTGATGGGGGATTTGATGTACAGGGCTTGAAGATTAGGAAATACGTCTGAGAGGAGAAAACTCCTCAAGCAGCTGGATCAAGGGGAAAAATGTCCCTTACATCTAAGCTGGGAAGTAGGCAGGAGGAAAAGGAGATGTGCTTATAGAATCACAGAATCATGGGACTGTTAAGATTGGAAAAGCCCTTGAAGATTGAGCCCAACCATTTCTCCCAGCACTGGTGTGTTCATAGCTAAACCATGACCCCAAGCATCACATCCACGTTTTTGGAACACTTCCAGGGATGGTGACTCCACCACTGTACTGGGCAGTCTATTCCAGTGCCGTAATTCTTTCCCTGAAATTTTTTTTCCTAATATCTATCAAAACTCTCCCCTGGAGAGTTTGTAACTGCCTGAACCAGTGCTCATTTTTGCTAAGTGCTGGCAGCCAAACAGGATCATTTTTGTGCATGAAAGACTTGGATAAACTCTCAGGGTGGGCCAGTGCTGGCACCAGACTGGGGAACAGGCAATGCTCTTCACAACATGTCACCACTCTGGTCCCTGTTGCTCGCAGGAGTGGGATTTGGACTCGTCCCTGCAGGTTGGGTCCTGGTTTTTATCCAGACAAATCTGCTGACAACTGGACACGCTGGCACAGCCACATTTGGTTGGGGACAGGAGGAGCAGAGCAGTGGGGGAACAGAGCCAGCCCAGGAGGCATCAGCTGGGGGATGCACCTGTGTGCTCCAACTTGCTGAGGGCAGGAACCTCGAGAGAGCTGAATCAGCAAGGCTTGACCTCCCACTGGCACTGTGGGTGGATCTTTGCCTGGAGCCAACTGCTCCCAGTTAATTCCATTCACACCGAGGCAGCCACAGCGTCAGCAGGCTCCTCCAAGGAAACCCAGCTCCCCAGGAGTCAGGTGGGAGATGTTCATGGACACTGCCCTGGCTTGGAGAAGGGAAATCAGTCTGCGCCTGGGGACAGGAAGGTTTTAAGGCAGCACGTGGAGGGATGGGCACTGGGACAAGATGAACACTGCATTTTTTCCTGTAAAATGCAGTCGGGATTTGCTCTGACAGCTGAGCACAGGTGGCATCGGAGCTGCACCAGCGGAGACACAGGAGGTGAGGGGATGGAGCAGGACAAATCCTGCTGCTGCGGGAGGTGGTGGGGAGGGGTCTTCGTGGGTGAGGTGACCGGAGCAGCTCCCTGTGTTCCACCAGCACAGTTGTGTCCTGCATGTTACCATTTCTCCAGCTCTGCACAGGCACTTCCAGCCCTGGGCCGTGGCTGGACGAGGCACAGGGGGCTCTGCCCCGGGCACTACCTTCTCCTCCAAGGCTGCCATCCTCTCCTTGAGGTGCAGCTGCAGCCGCTCGTTGCTCTCGCTCAGCAGCCGGTCCACGGTGTCTGAGAGCCGCTTGTTGTGCTCCTCGTTCATCTTCTCCCGCTGCCGGGCCTGGGACAAACACAGTGACATCAGTGACATCAGTGACATTCGTGTCACACCCAGAGGGGCTCAGTGCCCTCCTGCCATCCTGTGCCTGCTGTGGTGTCAGAGGTGGCACACCAGGCCCAGCTTTTGGGACAAATACACCTCTTACAACACTGATTGGACCCTTTGTTGTGGCTCTGCTGCTCTCTGCTACCTTCCAGCTAGGAATGAACAGGAGAGAAATGGATTTAGGGAGATCATGCCTGCTTGCCCCTGAAGAAAGCTTCTCTTGTGTACCTGCCAGGAATATCCACATTGGGGGCACTTTTCAGACCCCAATGGATACTGAACCTCTGGATTTTCAAATATCTGTCTTAAGGCAAAACATATGGGGGCTTCCCCAGGGGCACATCTGTAATGTCACCTAGATGACCTGAGAAATAGGCATCACAACCTCCTGCATGGACAGCCCAGCCCCTGGCTGAGAAGCACAGAAGCTGAAGAAGGGACTGTGCTGCCCAGCACACAGCAGCTCAGCTTCCCTGCCCTTTTCATCCTGCTGATCCAGGCTCAGGGGAGGAGCTGCTTCCACCTTGCATTTGGTGCCCCAGCTTGCCCCAAGGGGTGATGCTGGGAGGGGAGTGGGTTTGGAATATTAACAGCAAGTCTTGGATGCCTGGGAGAGGGGAAATCACAGCAGAGAGTGCCATGAGCTCCTGTGTGGCTCAAGTTTAAGTGATCCTGGATGGGAAAGGATTAACCAGGCTGTTCTCCCAACCTGCTCCTGAACTGCAATCCAGGTGTGCCCAGGCACCAAGGCAAGGATCAGGACTTACCCTGGCCAGCTCCTGGTTCTTCTCCTCCAGCTGAGTCTCCAGCTGCCGGAGGTGCTCCTCAATGCTCCCGTGCCTCTCTTCTGCCTGGGAAAAGCAGAGCAGCCTTCTCGGATGATGCTCCCAAAGCCATGAGGGCCCTGCTGCATCCTGGTGTCCATCTCGCATCTGAGTCCTTCCTGGGATGCAGGGCTCTCTCCCACTGCCTGCATCCCTGCCAGGGCTCCCTGTGAGCCCAAACCAGCCCTGCTGGCACGGTGACAGGAGCTGGAGGTGCTCTGTGAGGGACTAAACAGCATTCCAGAACCCAGGAAGGGCAGACATGGCCGCATCCATCTCTCCCTTCGGGCCTGTACCCTCCAAAATCCAGCTTGGTGCTTCCTCTTTCTCCTCATCCTAGAGTGGCCTCACCCAAGCCAAAGGGCATCCACACCAACAGGGCCACCCCCGCCTTGGAGAAAGGAGCCGAGGGAAGGGAGCAAACCCCACATGTGCAGGACACATTGAGGTGTCCTTTAAAGGCAGTGTCTTGTCCCTGCCGCAGTGAGGACAGCAGCGAAAGAGAGGTCACAGCTGGGAAGGAGAGTGGGATGCCTCGGGCTGCCAGGGGACAGCCAGACCCAGCTCCTCGCCTGGTCCCAGCACTGCCCTCTGGCTCCAATCCCTGCCCTCCTTCTCCAATCCCTTCCCTTCCGGTCCCTCCGGTCTCGGACATCCCCTCCAGCCCCGGCCCCACCCCTGGCACTTGCCTTGGTGAGCGCAGCAATGCGCTGGGCCAGCTCCGCTTCCACCTCGGGCAACGTCTCTGCCTTTCTCATTGTCTGCTGCAGCTTCTGCTCCGCCAGCTCCAGCAGCTCCTGCAGGTGCCGAGCCTTCTCCTCGCACTGTGGGACAGCAGTGTGACTGCCCGCCATAGCCCACCCCAGCCCCCCCTTCTGCCCCCCACGTCCCCAGGCCAGGGGGACGCTTTGGGTGCAGTTTCAGTACCTGGCGGTGCAGGGACTCCTTGTTGGCCAACTCATTCTCCAGTTTGTCATTGAGGTCGTGGATGGAAGTGGCCTCTCGCTGGGCTGCCAGATACCGCTTCTCCAGCGTGGTGATCCTCTCCTCCATGTCCTCCTTCTGTGCCAGGGCCTGAGGAAGTGATGGGGCTGTCATATCCTGCTCTGTGACAGCATTTTGGGAATAGCAGGGCTGCCCAGCTCCTTCAAGTCTGGGACACCCCGAGTGCAAGGTGTGTAAAAATGCCCCTTGACATGGGGATGAGGGACAGCAGAATGGGACAGTGGTAGAGTCAAAGAATCACAGGAAAACCTTGTAGAGAGGACACAGGTCACTGCCCCAGGTGTGCAGCACACCTGAGAGCCTGTCTGTAACCTCAGGGAAGTCCTGCTGGTGGACTTGGGGACAATTTCCCAAAGGCAGTGGCCTCCTTTGGAGAACGCCCTACACGCAACAGGAGTTCCAATCCCTTCCCAGCCCAGTGGAAGCAGCTGTGAGGTCCCTGCCCCAGGCTGGGCAGTCAGGGGGACAGGGACTCACCTCTCGGAGATCCCTCTGGTACTTGCTGCTCATCTCCTCAGATTTGATCAGATCCTTCCTGGCGGTGCCCAGATCCTCCTCCAGCTCAGCCACGCTGGCAGCCAAGGCAGAGATTCGCTCCTTGGCCTGGACCACTTCAAAATTCTGCTTCTCCAGGAGCTCCTGCAGCTCCACCACCCGCCCGGCCTCATCATCTGGGTGGACAGAGCCATTGGAGAGACGCTGCAAGGCACCAGAGAGGGAGGTGGGTATTGGGATGCTCCAAAGCTCTCAGGCTGTGGCATTGCTTGCAACCACTGAAAGGGGGAAATGTGGCCCTGCAGGGACTCAGTGAGGGAGTGGAAGTGTAGACAAGAGGCTCTGGGACCTCCATCAACAGCCTCCACAAGCCAGGGATGGGGCTTCTTACAGGAATGTTGGAATAGGGATGGTTGAGGGCTTCCCAGAACATCTGGTGGAAGGTGTGCCTGCCCATGGTGGGCGTTGGAACAAGATGGCCTTTAAGGTCTCTTCCCATACAAACCATTCTGTGATCTCTGGGAAGCAGAACCCCTTGGAGCACCCGAGCACTAATTCTTCCCACACAAAAATGGCCTGTATCCACCAGGAAGGGCATTTCCCATGGGGTTGGACCAGGGGAGAGGAAAAGTTTTCAGCACCCTGGAGCCAGCACCAGAGAGGTGGCAGAAATGACAGCCTCAGTGAGCATGGTCAGGGCAGGGGTTTCCAGGCCTCTCACCTTCCAGGGAAGCTTCGGGGCTGTTTCCTTGGGCTCTCTCTCCTCACCCGCCGCTGGCTCCCGGCTGGAGCCTTGCTGCAGAGCTGCCACCTGCATGGGAACAGGGACTCAGCACTGGGACACAGCAGGAGCTGAGGCCAGTCCTGCTGCACCCGGGGCTGCACCAGCTGCCTGCCAGAGTCCTGCTTCAGGCTGGGGGGCACTGGAGGGAGCAGGTGAGGAATAGCTCTGAGCTGGCACTGCTGGGGTCACACCTGGGGGCAACTCTGGGCCCCTCAGTTCGGGAAGGACATGGAGCATGTTCAGGGAAGGGAACAGAGCTGGGGGAGGGTCTGGAGCACCAGGAGCAGCTGAGGAACCTGGTGGGGCTCAGCCTGGAGAAAAGGAGGCTCGGGGGGACCTGGCTCTGCACAACTCCCTGACAGGAGGGGACAGCCAGGGGAGGTTGGGCTCTGCTCCCAGGGAACAGGAACAGGACAAGAAGAAATGGCCTCAAGCTGTGCCAGGGGAGGGTCAAGTTGGACATCAGGAAAAAAATTTTCTCTGAAAGGGTGGTCAGGCCCTGACACAACTACCCGGAGTAGTGATGGAGTCACCATCACTAGAAGTGTTCAAAAAACAAGTGGGCGTGGAACTTCACAATATTGTTCAGGGGACATGGAGGTGTTTGATCAAAGGTTGGAGGCTTTTCCAGCCTTGAAAGATTCCATGATTCTAAGAGAGAGGAAGTCAGAGGTGCTGGGAAGGCTCAGCACTGAGGGATGTTTTCCTGGTGAGCCCTGTATCCCAGGGCTCCCTCCCAGCTCATTTCACTGGTTTGCAGCCAGACAGATTCTGAACCCAGTGCAGCAGGAGCAGGGGATAAACACTGGCACTGTGTCCTGCTCTGATAGGGGAGGATGAGAAATGGTCCCTGCAGGAGGAGGGTCCTGTGAGCCTGGGAAATACCTGAGACTTATCCAGGGAACTGGAAAGAGGAGCAAATTTTGGCTGGCAGATGCTGTAGGAATGGCTCCTTCCTTTTGGAAGAAGTGGCTGGGCACAAACTCCAGGAAGGAAAACAGAGTTCATGTCTCTTCAAGAACATTTTATCCCTGAAAGTGTCCAAGGCCAGGTTGGACAGAGCTTGGGGTAATCTGGGATAGTGGAAGGTGTACCTGCCCATGGGAGGGGGTGGAGGGAGATGAGCTTTAGGGTTCCTTCCCACCCAAATGAGTCTGGGATTCTGAGATGACCATGACTGGAGGTTGGGGACAGTGAAGTCCCAACCCCAGGACTCCAGCAGGGAAGAAGATGGGGGATGCAAGATGAGGTACTTGAAGCAGTGTGGTTTGAGTCTCTGCCAAATCAGGACAAATCCAAGTCACTCTCAGCCCCCTGGAATGATTCAGATTCAGACTGTTTTTGTCAGTGACATGAATTCCAAACAGCAAACCACAGGGAAATGTCACCTGTGAGACAAATGCTTTTCAGAATCTTTACAAGGTTTCCTTAAATACAGACAAACCTTGAAGTAAACAGCAATTTCAGAACAAAAGCTTTACATCAAACCTGACTGAAAGCAAATACCACAGGAACTCCCAAAGGTAATGGAGAGCATTCCCAGCCCAGCAGGTGTCCAGGTACCTCTTACCTGCCGATGGGCATCCACCAGCTGCTCCTCCAAGGTGGCCACTCGCTCCAAGGCTGCTCGCAGGCGTTCCCTTACCTGCAGGTGAGTGAAACAATGGGAAAGGCTGTTATTTATCCAGGATGAGGATGTCCAGGATTTAGGCATGCTCCCAGGCCTGTTTGTTGGGCTGACAGCCAGGCTCAGGTGGATTCACAGGTTTCGGATCATCCAGCCCATCACAGGTGAAGTGAAATTGTGTTGGAGACAACAGGCTGGGCCAATTCTTAGAGATCTATGGCCAGAATAGCCTGGAGAGGTCTCCTAGCAGAGGAAGGAGATGCCCGTAGTGAATGAATGAGGAGAATAGTGAAGACTGACCCAGGGTGTCAATTGCCACCACCCCGAGAGTGACTGGGGGGAGTTCTCTGTCCCCAACATCCTCAAACCCAGAGGATGCACTGGGCAGCTCCAGCAGTTCCCCAATGCAGCTTTGGGATATCCAAGACTTTCCTGCTGAGGGCCCCCACGTCACCTTAACAACACAAAGTTAAGAAGGGAGGGAGTGGAGGGTCGGGAGAAGGAGCTCTGAGTAGGAGAGGCCCCAGCAGCTTTCCCACCTTTTCATCCAGCGCCTTGTGATGCTCAAAAAGTGACTTGAGTGCCTTGAGCACCTCAACCTCACTGGACACCCCGGATGGCGACTGGGCCTGGCGCTTGACCACGGTCATCCTGAGGGAGCGCTCATGCCGTGACACCAGGCACTCCAGGTGCTCCAGCAGCAGCTGCAGGGAGATCAAAGTGGGGCTGTCACTGCCAGGATGGGCCCAGCAGCCCCTTGTGTCCCATAATGCCAGGACTGAGGGCTGCCAGCAGGGTCTCCAGGCTCACCCGGGTGTTGTTGCGCTCTGCTTTCAGCTCAGAGATCTCCTCCTCCCTCTCCAGGAGCTGCTCCCGGCAGGCGCTGAGCTCCCGTGTCAGCGTGGCAAACTCCTGCAGAGAGCGGGGCAGGCAGTGAGCAGCGACACGGATGGGATGAGCCAGCATTCCAGCCCCACTGCTGGAACTCCAGCACAGCATTTCCCATTCAAACCCAACCAGGGTAATGCTGTGGAGAATGGGGAGAAACCGGTGGAGAGGCACAGCCAGGCCAGGAGGGGATTTTTTCCTGTCTTCCCTCATGCTTTGGACAAGGAGAACACAGCAGCTCAAGATTTCTCCCACTTGGTTTGATGTCCAATGACACAAGAAACTGCTCTACAGCTGCAGAGGTGGTCGATGGCATTTAAAGTATCCCAGTTAAGACCACCAGCATGTTTCTATTCCCACCTTGGAGCATCACGTCAGGCTAAAACTCACCACAAAGCCACAGCCAGTCAGGATGAGTCCCCTGGCCCTCAGCCAGCCTCTGCCGTGGCCTCAGGACTTGGAATCATCCAAAACTTCCTTCCAAAAGAAAAAGGTTGCTGCCTCAGTCCAGCATGTGGAGCCCCAGTGAGCTGCATATGGGGCACCCCCAGGTCCTGAGTCCCAGCTGAGAGAAATGGGGCACAGCAGGAGATATGCCAGCTGCCACCAGCTCTTGCTGCTGCCACCACTCCCTCCAAGGATGTGACAGCCAGCAAGAAAAAGCCATGCCCAGAGCAATGCCAAAGGAGGAATGCTGCACACCCAGTGCATCGCTTGACAGGGGAAAACAGGATGAAAACTAAATCACACTTGTGGCTGTGCGAGAGGGGAAGGGAAACTCGCTTTGAAGTCCCTTGGATGCAGGAGTGTTTCCTTACCCCTAAGAAAAAAACCCAGGCACCTGGGTGAGCCCAGGAGCACCTCCCATTGCTCCCAGTTGCTCTTCAGTAGTGCCAGGCCCAAGTGAGGTTTGGCAGCTGGGATTTCTTAGGGTGAGAAATGCAAATGCGGGAATGCGCCATGAATTCACACCAGGTTCAGTGTTGTTGGAAAGAATTTTAAAAGGCAAAGGATTTCAGAAGAAGCTGAGGATTTGATGGAGCATTAACAAACCAAATTTCAAGAGAGGGCTGAGAGCTGTTTTACAGCATGAAGTTCTTTTTCACTTTAATTTTCAGGTTTAGCAAATAAAACCCTTTCAAACCGAAGCAAAGCACTGAGGCTTAGGTTGAACCAAATGCTCTCCTCAGCTCCAAGTGAAACCTACAACAGCTGAAGCTCTGAGAAATCCACAGCTTTTTCATGTTTGCCCCAGTCAGGTTTTCTCCCTCCCCACCCCAAACCTGTCCCACTGGTGGGGTTTGTAGCCTGGGATTTGTGGGGATGGTGGTGGCACTGGTGCAGTTGAGATCCCACAGGGACAGGACCTGAGCAGGTTGCAGTAAGGGGAGTCACTGTCCCCATAAACAGCTGCTTTCCTGCCTGCCACCTGCCTCAGGCCACTGCCACACCGCTGCCCCATATTCCTGCTCCACATCCCTGCTCAGACATCCCTGCTCTAAAATCCCTGCTCTGGCATTGGCCCAGGGCCTGAGGTCTCCAGTTCCTCCCCAGAGCCCCTCCTGCCCCATCTATTCCCCAGGTACCACTCCAGTCCTGCAGTTTTCCCTCTTCCCGTCCCTTCTTAGGGACCACTCCAATCTGGGATCATCCCTGGCCTCATCCCTTCCCCAAGGATCCCTCCAGCACTGGGATCACTCTTCTCCCCACCAGTTCTCCCCCAAATCTGTCAAAACACCCCAAACCTCGTCACCAACCTCTGCCATGCCCCATCCCACACTTGCTCTGGGACCATCCTACAGCCCCCAAAGCACAGGGAACCCCCGGCAGATCCAGCTCCACCGGGACCCAGCTGTGCCAGCCCAGCCCTCCCCAAAGCCGTGCTGTCTCTGGCACTGGGATCCCGCTGGGATGGGGCTGGGGAGGGGGCTGGGGCTGGGTTTGGGCGCAGCCCAGCTCAGGCACACACACGTGCCCATTCCGCGGGTTATGCAAGCGCTACCAGCAGCTCCAGAGCATCCCTGCGGATTAGAGCCGGGCTGGGAATGCCTGCGAGCAGAAAGCAGCAGGGAGATGTGCCAGAAAGGTGCCTGTGCATCGCCTCAGATTTAGGGATGTCACTCTCCCAGTCCCTCAACACGCCAGGAGACAGGCGGCACGGCTCCAGGAGCTCGGGAAATGCATCGGGGCAGCCGGGATGGTCCCGGAATATCTTCCAGCAGCCCAAGCTGGAAACGTGGGGGACACATCAGCTCTGGGCTTTTCCAGCACCAGGGCAGGACCCTGCGGATCCAAAGCCTCTGGATCGGCAAAGGTGAAAACTTCTTGCTCTTCCCCGTGGCTGGCAGGGGACAGCGGCTGTGGACAGGGATGCTCTTCCCACTGGAGAGAACAGGGCAGGGCAACGCGGGATGGGTGGGACGAGGCATTAGAGGCAGCAAGAGGACAGGGATGGCCAGTGCTGGGGACAGAAATCACCACTGTGGGGACAGTGATGGCCAGCACTGGGGACAGTGACCACCAGCGGCCAGCCTCATCTCCCCGCATGCCCTCGCTGCGGTGGCCAGGCTGTACAGATGCACTTGCATTCAGGATTTCATCCTGAAAGAGGGGATTAAAAGGGAGCAAATCCTCTGGAGAGAGAGGCAGCCCCTGCTGCGGTCAGCGGGTCACAGCCAGGGGTGGGCACAGCACAGAGCTCCTGCCAGCCCTTCCCTGGGGGTGCTCCTCTCTGAGCCCTCCATCCTGACAGGAACCTGGTTGCATCCTGTGCTCTGTTTCCCACATCCTTTGCCAGGCCTGGAGCACCCCAAGTCAAAAAGCCCTTGATAACTGTACCCCATTGGGGAAAGGCTGCAAAAATGAACATTTACACCAAAAATAGCAACCACCCTGTGGTGAGCCAGGCCAGTAGTGAGGTCAGCCGAGTACACAGGGCCTGAGTATGATGCCGTGGGAATAAAAAATAGGAATAAATCACTCCAGCACCCGCTTGTAGCTACCTCCCCCTCAGCCCTGGCTCTGCCAGATGCCGACTTTGCCACCTTGCTCTGGGTCACTGGCGGGCACCAGGCAAGTTGGGGACCATGACAAGCTGTCCCCAGCTCATGGCTGCAGTGTCACACTGTGGAGTGCAGCCTCCACCCCCACCCACAGGTGTGCAGTGGCCCTCCATCCCAGAGAAGTGGAGATAAAGAGGATCCAGATGATTTTCGTCTGCCCTGGCCATGGCTGGGAGTCTCCCAGGCGAGGCAGAGGCGCCTGCCCAGCTCTGATAAGCTCTGGGACTAAGCAGGGACACCTATAAACAGATTAGAAAGTGAAGGAGAGATGCCTGATCTCCAATCCAATCCTGGGAGTCCCTGGGAGCCCTGCATGAAGCCCAGCAGTTCAGGAATGGGCCAGTTTGGATTAAAACCTCCACCATGCAACTGACTGGGCTCGGCCTCAAGTCCTGGGGTGAGAGGGAGCAGGATGGAGGGAAGGAGCAGGATGGAGGGATGGAGCAGGATGGAGGGAAGGAGCAGGATGGAGGGAAGGAGCAGGATGGAGGGATGGAGCAGGATGGAGGGAAGGAGCAGGATGGAGGGATAGAGCAGGATGGAGGGATGGGGCAGGATGGAGGGTTGGAGCAGGATGGAGGGATGGAGCAGGATGGAGTGAAGGAGCAGATGGAGGGAAGGAGCAGGATGGAGAGATGCTCTTTTCACTGTCAGAGCAGTGAGGGAGGCCTGGAGCACTACACAAGGTGTTGAAGTGGGAAGCTGTGGACTGGGACTCGAATCTTCAGTCAGCACCAGGCATGTTGAGGGTTTGGGGCTTTCCTCCTTGGCTGCATCAGAGGGAAGGCACAGGGACGAGCTGGGAGGTCAGGAATCAGCAGCATGAAGATGGCTGGAAAAGCATGGAGAGGTTTTAGAAGCTCAGGGGGAGAAGGCTCCAAGGCTGTAGCATGGAAAAGCTGAAATGCCCAAGTCCTCAGCCCAGGGCCTTCTCGTGTCTCTCCCAGTGTCGTCTGCAGCACAGACAGGGGTGCAGCAGGATCACACCACAGCCAGCAGAATTCCCTGTTTGTGGCAGGAGCATGGCTGCTGCTCCAATGCACCCGAGCCTGGGGACAAACTGGCTCCAGCTATAGGATTAACTGCATGTTAAAGCCCCTAATTGGAGTGATTGCTCCTGACAGAAGTGGCAGGGGATGTGTGGGAGGATGCCCATGCCAAGAAATCACCACTGCTGACTCAGCACAAGAGGAGGAGTCCCACCCATCATCTGACACCATCACCCCACTTCCCCTTCTGTCCCAGGAGTGGAGCAGAATGAAGAGAAAGCCCCAAATCAGAGACGAGGGGATAAACATAACCCCAGCAGTTGTAGCATGGGATTACACTGATTAAACCCTGCCGGGTAAACCCAGGGCTTCAACCATCACCCACCCCCAGCACTGGGCACCAGCACCTCTTGGACCTCCTGGATACCACACTGGGGCTCTGTGAGACCATCCATGGGGAATCAGTGTCCTCCCTTCATCAGGATGTGTATTTCCACCTGGGGTTGCTCAGGGAGGAGCATTGTGCAGCCAGTCAAGCAGGAATCCAACATCTCAGTGTCCCAGTCTTGTAGGAGCACAACTAACTCCAATGGTTCTACACAGCTGTCAGATCCCTCCATCCTTCCCAAACTCTGGAGATGCTTTAAGGGTCTTACCTGGTGGGTGTTTTCCCCCACCTGGGGCTCCTGAGGTTCCCATTTACCTGCTGGTCTTTGCAAGTTAACTTAAGATACACTTTGAAGTTAAATGGGACTGTTTGATGTCAGGACCTGGGGGACCCCTAGGGAGTTTGGGGGGTCTTAGAGGGTCTGCTCACCCCAAAAAGGTGAGCTCAGCTCTCCAGGCAGCCCAAGAGGCAGCAAAGGTGCAGAAGAGCTTCAAGGAGGAAGGAACTGCAGGAGGTTTCTGTGGCCATTGGCAGCCCACAGCCCTCAGCCCTGTTGAAATCTGGGAGGGTGTTCTCCCCCTGACACAGCTGGGGACAGGGACTCCTGCCAAACCCCCAAGCCATGGCAGGACAGGGAGGAGCTCCATCCCACACAGGACCCTGCACTGGCAACACATCTGGATGCACCAGGAGCCCTGAGTGTCACATCTCCTGGTGGCACCTGCCCCTAGGAGAAACTGAGCTGGGAGCTGGGCAGGAGGGACCTGGGAGCAAAGCCAGGGCCTTGGCAAACTGCTGAGAGCACCCAGATACTGCTCAGGGCTCGGTCCTTGGCCACG